AGTCAATATGTTTGTGGAAGTGCTCAGAAAGCGTAAAGAATTCAACACATCTGTTGGCAAAACAATAATCCGTGACATTATATGTATTATAAAACATTCAATTCTTATACAATATATTTAGCTATTTCTATGTTAAAGCATTGTGTTTTAGGGACAATATGTGTTATCACATTCACATTATGGTAACAAATAACCAATAATTAAGTTGTCTTATGATTAAAGGCGTTAAATAATTAACTCTTTTTAACCACAATTCATTTATGAACAATGTGTATAGAATCGTTCGACTGCCCCCTCCTCATCCCTCACCCTATGGGATGGCATACCATGTTAATCCTATGGCTATACTTTAACACGGGGAGACTCTCATAAGTTTAACATGGGGCGCTTTAACATGGGTTTCTGTGGTATTATAGCTTAAGTCTATGACATAGGGTTAACATGGGTAACGCTAAGTCTATGGCATAGAATTAACATGGGTAACGCTATCTCTATGGCAATGCTAATCCTATGGGATTTGACTAACGTAAACAGATTAAAATATATTGGGTAACTAAATATTGTTAAAAATATTTAGAAATTGTGAAAATAGCAATATTGAAAGCATCCTAACAATAGTGGTTAACGTATAGCATCGCTGTGTGTCAGTTGTTTTGTATGATTTGTCAATACAATGCATACCTTTTCTCAATTGTATTAGACAGCAGTTATGTTCGATCCAACGATGTATTGTTTTGGACATCTCATCCATATTAGAAGTGGTGACCGTCTGGTTATATGATTCCCAAAGCGATTTCATTATGATATTAAACTATAAGATAAATAAAACAATTAAAACACAAACACTGAGACAATTGGGTAAAGACATACGATCCAGAACTTCCAGTTTTGTAAAGTTCTTTCGCGAATATAATTCTCATAGAGTTCTTGAGTCTGAGTCGAGCGTTGAGACGATACGGGAACGCCAGTCGCCGGCATTTGGCTCTGGATAACACTATTTCGCAAACAAAAGCCCTTTAATATACTATGCTATTAATGAATAATAATGTAATAAATGACACACCCAATGGTTTGGTTGAGGCTATCGACCTGTTGGATGAGCAGATCGTATTCCTCCTGTTGCTGGTGTCGGTCACTCTTGAGCTGCCGGATGTGTTCGGCCGCCTTCTGAAGCATCGCT